TAAGACTTAGTAGGACTTACAAAAGTAACTAGCTAAGAATGGCTGCTTGCTAGTTTAAACATATGACATTCAGATCCCTATGGAATACTCTCTTTAACCTTATCTAAAAGTCTATTTAGTTAAAGAAGATTCTAGTCTGATTTATAAGCTGCTTTATAAGCTAGTTGACGTATATACTTACGTATACTAAACCTAGCTTATAGCTTCCTATATTAGCTATTATAGGCGACGTTATACTACTATATAACTAGCCTAATTCTCTCCCTTAGCTAGCTATTAGTTCCTCAACCAACTCAGCTTCAATATAAGCCTATACATTCTTTACTATTAAAGCCCTACTTTATAAGTACAAGTTCCCTTACTCTAATACCCTGTTATAAGGATATCGTACTATCTACGAGATTCCTACCTACCGTTCCAACAATATTCCTATCGATTAAGGAGTAAGTAGACGAAGAATTAGTAATTAAACTACGACGAGAAGGTATTATTACTATACTAAGCAAACCGTTCGAATAGTTAACTAAATAAGAGATTAACAGCCTTATCGCTAGAAGAGTATTTAAATTTACTTAGTTTAATAAGAGAAGGTACTAGAACGTACGAATCTTCCGATCTTATATCGTTAACGAAGTCAAGGGTAAAACAACTAAACCTTACGAGAAATCGAGACTTATAATATAGGGTTACGCCGACGATAGCAAGAAGGCTATATTAACCTAATCGCTAACGATTTAGCAAGCAAGTTAATAGCTAATTCTATTAATTACCCCGTTACTCCTACGAGAAGGGAAATAACTATAGCTTTAAGATATTATATAAGCCTACGTTTAATCCTCTATAAGGCTTAATCGTACTATTCTCGCCTACCTACCGAAGCAAATTCAAGACTAGTACCTAAAAGGGACTATTATAAAGGTTGTAAAGCCTCTATACGGAATCGCAGAAGCTAGAACCTACTAGTAGGCAACGTATCATAAGCATTATAGAGAGAATCTCTAGATAGTTACTTCTTCGTACGATCTATGCTTATTAATCTTATCTACCGAAAATCTATACTTTAGCTATATCGGTATATAAACCGACGATACCCTCGGTTTGTTAGACAAGGCGTTCTTATAATTAGAAGACGAATAGTTAGAAAAAGCAGCTTTTATAGCAAAAGCGAAGAATATCCTTATAATTAACAAACCCCTCTAATTTAACAGAGGGATAATCGCGCTATTAACTAACAATTCGATTAATTTAAGGCAAAAAAGATAAGCTAAGAAGTTACGATATATTAAGACTACTAAACCTAACCTAAAATAGCAATATGTTAAACAATGTGCTAGAGGGGCGTATATCGCGTTAATTTGCTAACCCGAGGCCTGTTTCGATTTATCTACTACTGCCTAATACTAAGACCCCTTGCTAGAAGCGATAAAAGCACTAAATCAACGGATTCGATAGTAAATAGAATCGCCTAACCGAGGAATAACGTTTATCTTACTCGACCTTATAATAGCTAAGCTATTCGTTTTCGTTAACAGGTTGTTCGCTAATAACTACGACCTCTCCTCCTAATTAGGGTTTCTAATCATCCTAGCTAACGATACTTCCTCTAATAGTAATAACGGAGAATTTACGATTTACGGTAACCTTGTTTATTATAGCTCTACGAAGAGTAAACAAGTTACCCGCAGCGTATTAGCGTTAGAGATCTATAAGATAGTTGCTAGCGTCGATATAGCCTACGCCCTTGCTATAACCCTAGCGATAATTACTAACTACCTTAACCTACTAACGATTTAGACAGTTGTCTATACCGATTCTTATTCGCTATACAAGTATCTCGTAAAGCTAGGCACTACTAAAGAAAAGCGACTTATAATCGATATCATAGCGTTAAGATAATCGTATAAAAGACGAGAACTATAAGAAATTCGTTAGATTAACGGCGAAGACAACCTTGCTAATGCCTTTACGAAGAGCAAACCAAATCGAGCCTTCGAGAGATTCGTTAATAGCAATACGATAACGATACATATAGAGGGATAGGTAATAAGACCGTAACTACGGGAGAAAGTAGGGATAGGAGGCCGAATTGACGAAGAGACGGAATTGTATAGGGATAACGTATTCCAACCGCTTTAATACTATAAAAAGAGAGTTTCTAGTGTTGCGATAGTTGGAATACGGAGTCGTGTGGCACTTCCAGCCACACGCCCGCCAGGCTGAGAGGCCCAAGCCTCCCAGACCCACGTGACAGGCCAAGGGGGAATATCCCTACCTTCTAGTCAACAACACCACTTTCAACTAACGTCCCACACCCACTTCTGGGCACCCCCCACATTTGGGCACCCCATTTACACCAAAAACGCCGTTTTTCGAAATTCTATATTAAACTAAATACTTTACTTATTAAAGAGAATAAATATATGTTAAATAGATTAAGACTTAATTATAATACTTAAGTAGCTATATACTAGTATTATTGATAATAAGTATTATAAATTCAAGGTTTAACATTTATAATACTAATTTACCTAGCCTATATCTTAATATATAAAATAGGTAGAGATATTTAACTAATATGATTAGAATTTTTAAGTAAGATATAGTAGATTTATATATTCTTATACTTAGTAAAAAATTCTTTAAGCTTAGAATAATATTTTAAAATTTCCCTTAAGAAAAGTTTCTATTATAGAATTTTAACCCTTAATTATACTATATTTACTAAAGTAATACTTTTAAATCTCTTTTAGATATAATTATATACTTTTAATAAGTATAAATATTAATTTCCTAGATTTTTTAAATAAGTATATATAAGCGAAAATATATTTTTCTAATGTTAAGGAATACTAGTAAGTTACTAGTATCTACTAACATTTTAAAGCTTTTAGTTTTAAACTTCTATATTATAACTATTATTATATTTAAACCTTTATAAAAAATTAGATGGCTATAATTATACTTAACATAGTTTATATATATTTTCTTTTCTTAGTAAGTATAGTAGTTAGTTTAATATAGAATTTCGAAAAACGGCGTTTTTGGTGTAAATGGGGTGCCCAAATGTGGGGGGTGCCCAGAAGTGGGTGTGGGACGTTATCATGAACCATCGATTAGAACCAATTTACTGTTATTTGTTATTGACGAACGGAATTCCGTTTCACCCCCTGTGAAACCTACAGATAAAACCGCCTTTACAATACTCGTAATAGCTGAAGCTGCTTCAGAATGCCCCAAATTCGGTTTTACCTGTGGACTATGTCAATGTGTTACTCTGATGCAATATGTGATTTGAAAGTGATGAAGCTTACTGAACCAATGAGAATTCCCTTCTCGCCAAATACTGTACCTAATGTACACGCTTCAACGGTGTCTCCTACTGGGGTACCGGTTCCATGACATTCAATCATGGCCGTCTGCCACATGTCACTTTCAGGAATACCCGCATTGCGATATGCATCGCGAATTAACGCCTCCTGTGCCTGCGTACTTGGAGTAGTTAATCCGATAGTTTTTCCATCGGAATTTGTCGAAGACCCTCGAATCACCGCCCGAATTGGGTTTCCATCTCGGATAGCGTGATCGAGTCTTTTGATGAAGAGACAATTGACTGCCTCTGCCCGCGCATAACCGTTGGCAGCTGCATCAAACGTCTTACATAAAGCGTCAGGCGAAAGAACATTCTGTTCGGCCATTAACTGCGTGAAACCTGGTGAGAGCATAAGATTAGACCCTGCCACAAGAGCAGAGTCGCATTCCCCAGCCCGGATAGCTTGGCTGGCTAGGTGTAGCGCAAGGCCCGCCGCAGAGCACGCTGTGCGAACCGTCATACTGCAGTGGTGATTAGCCAGCTGTCGTGCGTGACTTGAAGATGTGGTTATAACCTACCTGGGACCTCGAAGATCAAATGCATGAGATATCCGATTCGCGTGGACGAAGTCCATGTAACCTGTCAAGTTGTACATACCACCATCCTGGTTATCTTTGGCATGCAACTCACGCCAGTCGTCTCCGAAGCTTCCAACGTAACAACCAATATTTTGGCCGCTCCATTCTGTTTCAGCGCCGCTCTCCAGGGCCTCCCAGACTACTTGTAGCAACAGTCGTTGCTGGGGATCCAGCTTTGACATCTCTTTAGGATTCATAGAGAATAACGAAGGGTCAAATTTTATGACATTTTCATGTGGTAACCAGTAACCCTCCACTGTCCGCAGCGGTTCTTCTCTACCCTTTGCTGTAAAAAAAAGGTTCTGGGAATCATACCGTGGATGATCCGGTTTCGACCGCGCATCTTTCCCGGAGACGAGGAAATCGTAGAGTGAATTGGGCGTGTTTATACCACCTGGCAATCGCAAGCCAATTCCACAGATGGCGACCTGTGTTAAGCTTGCTTCATTTTTGTGTCTTTGAATGTTATCTCTCGTCGTGCTGGTATTTGTTGCCATGGTAAGGGTGGCGGGGTGGGATATGTGCTGCCACAGAATTAGCAGCTAAACCGGGCGGCCAAATTCGTTCACAATTGTTTATCGAACACTGCTTTTCCCCTTATTCAAATTCAAGGTCATCAATCTGCAAGATCGCCAAATCTTCAGCAACCAACAAGGGTATGAGGTTGTCCAGCTCAACGGAAGACGTGTAACGCAGGTCCCCCACCTGATTTCCATATTGGGCATGTTCGGTGTACAAGAGTCTTCGGACCGTGCATGTTACAGTGGGTCACTGGGAAAACAGCACTCGGACCGGCATGAAAATGATAGCCACTCATGATCCGAACTCTATCACATCGAAGTTGTTGGTAATCATTCATTAGGAATTATGCATCAAATAGTTCTGTAGACGTTTGAAGATCTACTCTGTGAGTGAAATGATGAATGTGTCCTATGTTTACCTCTGACACATGAGCTAGCCTATCATCCCTCTGCATTGACAGAGCATTGTTGATGGACAAGCCATTATAAAATAGTGCAACCTTTTGAAAGTGTGTCGAAAAAAGAAAGGCCATGTTCCGGTTGAAATCAGCGTTATGGCCACTCACGCATGCTTACAAAGAGATACCATCATGTCAGTCGTCTGACGATGAAAGGGAATCGAAAGATACAGAAGAGAGCCTGCAGGAGCAAATCCTGACCTTACAAAGCAATCTATGGTGTCTCCGCGTCAGCTTACTTTTCAGCATCGTGTCTCTCTTCTTGATGGCATCTTTCATTGTTGTCGACCGAGTTTCATATATCAATGCTACAAATAGTTGCAGTCATCTTGGCAGCGACCATAGCGGATTTGTGCCACCGGGTAAGGTTGAGTGTTCCTGAAAGATATTCTTTTCCTAATGGTTTATTCCAGAAGTTGGAGAACCTACAAGATGGACATTATTTGATTTATCTTCTCCCTATTACATTGAAGAAGACACATTTTATGACTTGAATAAGACCAAAATGGTTATCGGTAAACTAAAGGCTTTACATAATTGTATGTGCTCCGGAATTGTTTTAGTCACCACTGATATTCTTTCTAGCATCAAATGTGTTGGTCAACGGTAATTTCGCTGACTGGCACAAGCCAGACGGCAGTATAGCAAAGTTGCCAGCTTACTATTCCACCGTCTCGTACCGGCAAACCTACATCATCCGTTCATTCCATCAAATGCACTGTTTGGTAAGTCAGGCCAAGATCTCCACCAACATTTGAATACAACTCATTGACACTGAATCAGATCTCAATTGCTGAAGAGTATGGCCATCGTGTGCATAATACTTCATCGCAGTGGGCTCCTCAGCATGTTGCCCACTGCCTCAACGCGATCCGGGAGGCAATCATGTGTCTTGCTGATGCTTCTCCAATGACATATGTGAACGGATTTGCTGTAGGACATGTCACAGATGATCAGAAGTTTATGTGTAGAGATTGGGGTGCGTTACGGAAATGGGCAAATGATCCAGTTCGGGGGATCAGATACAAGAATCTTGCACCGGCAGGCGCAAAGCATGACAACTATACGGAAATTATCCCTTTCCCAGAGCTTTCGGAAATGGAAAAGCTAGGGCTTGCTTGACCAAGCTTTAACGGCGCTCAATAAAAATAGATATGAGAAAGTTTGGCAAATGAAAATACAGTAAGATCCAATGACATATGAAGATATTGTGTAGTGTAAAGGGGCTTGAAAGTGAAAGCCATGTTGAGGAGAAATTGTAAGTGTTGGGAGCAAGACACTCCATTACGCATCCAGCATAAATAGCTTAAAATTCTTCTCAAGAACTAGCATCCTGGCATGCAAAGACAGAAAAACCCAATCTTCAGAACTATTGAATTGTCCTGGAATCTAGCAATGTTATGGGCATATGATATGGGTATTTGATTAGAGTCTTTAAAGTTACCACAAAGTACCCAATTCCTTATGTTTCGCGGCAAGTTACCAAATCCAATCATTTTTGCCATCTCATCCCACCAAGCAATCAACTTCATGAGGCTCATTATAGATGCGCGTAATATTCGGCAAGTCAATTTCCCATGACTGAGGAATGCCATTGTACAGAATGCAGTGCTCGACATGCTTCGGATCCCTGCAAAGCGAGTCCAGAATCCTTGGCTTGAAGTGTGAGGCATACGTAATTCTGTCCCACACATAACTGCAATGCATGTGGTGAACTGTTCCATCTGTGAAGAGCTCGCCATGCTCTCCCTTCACCGCTATGTCGAAAGGGACCTTGTTTATTCGTTCTCTCTCGTACCAGAAAGTCGTGTTTCTCCATTGCATGTACCCAAGATACCGCTCATGCATCTCCTCATTGAAGCATCGTGGATGCATCCAGGTTGAAAGGACAAAATCATATACGCATCCCCGGGCCTTTGACTCTCGCCAATCAGGCGAACATTTACCCAACGATACAGGCTCCGGCGGTCTCGCAGGTGATATATCGCTCGTAGCTCGACCAAGGTAGAAGATAGCCACAACGGCCGGTATGAGCGCAGTTTTGCTAATGATTGACCAGATTCGCTTTCGAGTGTTTTTACGCTGTGGTATCATTCCAATAGAAAAGTCAGCGTAGCCAGTCTCTTCAGCATAGCCAGTGCTATCGATGCTGGCACCTTCATGTTGCTGTTGTTTGCTGAGTAGAATTTGTCTTTCCATAGCGAGTGATAGGGAGAAAATTGAGTTCGTGAAAAGTACTGAGCCGCTTTGCGTGTTGTTAAGCCTATCCAAATCTGGGATGGCAAAGGGTTCATGTCACCAAATCAAACCATGCCACCACGCAGGAGCTGATGGGTGGGACCCGACAACACCTTAGAATTATAGTTCGCACGATGCTTCGGACCGCGGAAGTCAACCTTGACCTGGTCTGTACCAAAGGTCGAATGCAGAAGGAATCATAGCCAATGGGATACGAAAGGGGTGACGAAGAAAAAATTCAGCCCACTCAATCCCTTTGGACAATCGAAAAGCTTGTTTGAGCTTGTGAGCTTATTGACCCAAACTCGCAGATACTTTACGACAGCTACCAAATAGTTTAACATTACCACTGCCCATCCATACAAGCTCCTGAGTCTAAGCTCATTGACGAAAAGTCCTATCATACATGCAAAATCTCATTTTGTGTGACGCACTGTTATTCAATCATTCTCAACAATGCCAACCACCAACCCCGCATTGATTCAAGATATCCCGCGATCTCGCGGCGAACCGCCTCCGTTATTCTTGATCCACGATGCCAGTGGCCTCTTAACAAGTTACTTCAAACTCGGCTCACTAGCGCGACGCGTATACGGAATATGGGATCCCAAGTTCGATGCAGATGGTATTGGCGGGTGGCAAAGCGTTCACGCCATTGCTGAAGCTTACATTCGTCTCATAAAGCGGGTGATGCTAAGAGGTGAAATTGTTCTTGGTGGTAAGTCGAGGTGGACAAGATAAATGGACCATGACATGGATAGCAAGTGTCATTTGTGCTGATTGAAGGACAGGTTGGTCATTTGGCGGCGTTCTTTCGGTTCAGATTGCACATATGCTGACGACGTCAGGTAGAGGACTGCGAGTATCTCGAATTGTCCTTATCGACTCTGTTTACCCCCGCTGCCCGCGGCCGGAAGCCCAGAAGGAACCTGCGAAACTGCATCATGCCCCTGAACTACCTGGAGTTAGTCAGGAAACGCGCGAAAAGCTCATGACAGCGCTTATGAGAGCAACTTGCCTTTCAGATCAGTGGGATCCGCCCAGGTGGTCAATGCCACGCTCTGGACTGCTCGGTGCAACGCGATCATATGGGGTTGACCCATCACCACCACATACTGTATTAATTAAAGCTAAGGATATGGTTCCTATGTCAGAACCAGGTGAGAAGTGCCCACTCGACAGAACTAGGTTTCTCCCACAGCTCGGATGGGAGGACATGCAGGAAGGCTTTGTTGAGCATATCCTTGAAACGTCTGGAAACCACTATAGCATTTTCGACCAGGAACATGTAAGAAGTGGTCTGGCGTTTTGTTTGAAGACCATGCTAATATAAAGGAACAGATCAATATTATCACAGCAAATGTTAGGAAAGCCCTCGATATGAGTCTAGATTAGATAAACGAAGCCATTTGCTTGGTTGTCGATCTACTTGTGGAGGATTTAACTTGCATTCAACGAGAAACATCTCAGAATTAGGCCCTCGCATTGATCAACCTCAAAGAGTGACAAAAAAATCAAATAGTGCTTTTTTGAACAAATCAAATTTCATTACACGGTCAGAAATGATGGTCTATTGTCTCGTCCATTCGCCCTTGTTTGAGTCGACGTCTCATCTGCTGTACATTGCTAGCTTCAAGGCATGAAATTATTTCACAAGCTGACCACTGACCAGCTGCAAGCTGCATAATACATCATATCTAAACGTTCAAGGCAATATCTCCTGATACACATCTTTCTTGTCATCTGGTGCGACATTCATCCACTTCACAGATCGGACGGGGTCGTGAGCCCATTCTCTCAGGGCAAAGAAATCCCGACAATGTGACTGTTGATCATCCGTAGTATGACCAACTCCCATTCCATTTACATAGGATATAGGTGTGGCGTCAGCTAAACAGGTAACAGCTGATCTTAAAGTGTTAAGGCAATGAATAACATGCCCTGTTTCCCACTTTGGAGTTTTGTTGAGCACTCTGTATCCAATGTCCTCGAAAATTATAGACTGCAGGTCTTGTCAATATCGACCCGGTAAAGGGCTTACGAAACCAACTCACCACACAGTGCATTTGGTGGAACGCTCTGATGCTATACAGCTCTGAGCCTTTCCGCGTAATGTAGGCGGGTAATGGTTGCTTCTCATCATTGAAATCCATATAAGTTGTGTACTTTCCGTTTATACGTACGTTGGAAGCTAGCAAACGTCAAAGTGTATTCTCTCTTGTTAACGTGTGATTGTATACCATTATGCAGCATCTTGAATTCTCTAGCTGCCCTTTGCACGCTTTCGAGGCTCTCAAACACATCGGCTTTAAAAAAGTGTGGATCGCTTTCATCATCATATTTCATCCACTTAAGTGGCTGCCCAATTTCTTCAGCACCTCTCTTGTCAGTTGAAAGCAGTCGTGCAGAGAACTTGGCAGTCCATACCCGGAGGAACAAACCCACTCGGATCAACGCCAAGCGGGATTTCATCATGGCGATGCCAGAAGAGCTGGAATCCAAGAAAAACAACTAGGCCCAGCAGGATTGCAATTATGACGCCTTCAGTTAATGCTATCTTTTGCAGACGTCGAAAGTTTTGATCCCAAACCTTGCATTCATGGTTCCAATTGTCCAGGAAAGAGGGCGAACATGCATCGTCATCTTGGCTATCGACCTTGTCGAAATTTTCGAAATCGTCGTCGGCATCGGCTTCCTCGAGAGCGTTGTACCTCACTGTTTTGTCCATATCCTTAGCAAAAGTCACACGCTTCCCCATATTGACTGATTAAACAATTGATAATAGTGCTTGGATGCAAGTGCGCCAATCTGAGCCAGAGTAGCAGCTAACGTACGATCACTAGTTCGTTCCAATGACGTGGATTGAGACTTCAAGTCACAACAACGCCATCGAGACCTTGATCCCACGGACCGACAGACTGCAAGGTTTATGGTTTTGTTTCAAGGTATCCATCTTAATGTCTACCGCGGACCGAAGGTTCACTGGTGGTCCACCCATATACCCGAGTCAGTGAAGTAGCCCAAACTAGCTCTTCTGAGGCTGTGTTCTAGACCCCTGCCGGTTTTGGTCGTCTGCCGTGACAGTCACTAAGCTTGACCTGGAGTGTCCATGGCAATCAGCTTCGAGAAGTGCGTACACCGAAATTCTTGTATTTTTCTTCACACTTTTACCTAAGCACAGTAATTTTAGCAGGATATCGAACGACTTGGGGCTTCAAAATGACCAGTAAAGTCGACGAGGTGACATGGAGATCTTTGCCGAGAAAAGACCAGCTCGCTATTTTGTGCTTTTTGCGATTCGCTGAGCCAGTTGTTAGCATCTCACTGCTTGTATGAGCTGGACGCACCCGCCAAACGAGAACCTGACTTGTGCTAATATTCTTGTAATAGACATACCTTTTCTACCAGCTACAATCTTTAGACCCTAAACTCGACTCTGGGGCAATTGTGCGTCAGGTTGCCTATCTACAAACAAGTTTTATGCTTTCGCAGTGTTTATCGTCCATGTTTCTTGGGAAGTTTGCAGACTCACATAGGGGCGGGAGAAAGCCTGTTCTCCTGCTGGGAGTTCTGGGATCACGTAAGGGTTAAATGATCATACTTGTCAATGCATCAGTGCTGAACTGCCGACAGTCGTAGGTTGTGTCTCGTTTGGGTTTATCACCAACTTCAAACAGGCCTTGGCCCTTCGAATTCTCGAGGGGCTTGTCAATGGCAATGTTGCAACTATTCGGACGATGGTCTCTGAAGTAGTTGCAGAGAAACGGTATGTTATCTACCAGACCTTATGATGGCCACTTTATTAATTCAGCGACTAGCTATCAGCCTCATGCTTTCTTGCTTCTTCCAATCTCGTTTAACGTAGCCGCAATGTTCAGTCCTCTAATGGCTGGCCAGCTAGCAGACCTTCCTGGAAAATATCCAGAGAAGTTCGGAAACAATTCGTTCCTTAAGGCCTGGCCATACTCCCCTCCTGCGTTATTGAGTGGTCTTTTCCTTCTGATTGCCCTGTGTGCTGTTTTCTTCTTCTTGGAAGAGGTATGTGAAATGGCTTCTGCTTGTTTCCTCGTGGAACTACTGACTGGTCAACTTTCCATAGACGCTTGAACCAATACGAGACCGCTTCGACCCCGGGATTGAAATTTCCTCGAGAGTCAGATCAGTCATATTTGGAGTCAAAGCTACCACGCCAAGTCAGATAGAACAAGAGGAGACTGCGCATGGAGAGACATCGCGCATGATTACCAATGTGCCAGAAATTGATGAAAGAGACCTGGAAGAAGATTGTATCTCGGAGGGAGATTCTGTCTCTCTCAAGCCAGCAAAGTCTCCACCCATCCTGCCACTTCGCCGCATGTTTACAAAGAATATGTGCTTCACACTGCTGGCATACGCAATCCAGGAATACCATATCACGACCTACAATACTCTATGGACAAGTTTCCTGAGCGATCCCGTCGACACAAAAAACCGAGCGAGACTACCTTTTCTTTTTTCTGGTGGTGCTGGAATGAAGCCTGACCGTATAATGTGGTCATTGTTCATTGTCGGAGTCATGGGCCTTCCAACCCAACTGTTCATCTACCCTCGCATCAGCCGGCGTATGGGAACGTTGAAAATGTGGAGGACATTCATGATGGGAATGCCATTGCTATACTTCATAATTCCATATATCGCAGCTGTACCCTCTACTGCTGCGCCGCCGGCAGGTAAGGAGGGATTTTGGGTATGGTTTGTGATTGTTCTTGCACAAGTTCTCATGGTTGGAACATCAACCTTTGTTGTTCCAGCGCAGCTGGTACTGACAAATCTGTACGTGCTCAGACATCATGAAGGACATTGAGATACAAAAAATGCTAATGATGATCAGATCGTCACCCCACCCATCGGCCCTGGCACGAACGCATAGTAGTGCTTTCCTGCTCACAGGCCTGGTCAGATCAGCTACATCGTCTATCGCCGGTGTTATATACAGCTATGGGTCTTCGCATAACATCACGGGGCTTGTGTGGTGGATTGCCAGCGGCGTCGCAGCTCTGGGTTGCTTGAACAGTCGTATTGTCAAAGAGGGTAGTGGACATGAAATATGGCTTACGGGGGACACTGAGTAGAACAGGAAAAAAGGAAATAGTAGACAATTACAAGGACATAATCTGACTTGGGACCGTACTTTCTTAAGACGTGGTCCCAAAATCCATCGTCAGCATTGTTTAGATTTCTGTTAGATTCACACTACTTTTCAAGGTTTTCAAATAGCATCAAATCCTTAAGCAAGTGGTCTCTGTGATATATGAAATTTGAACAGAAGTGATTGTATTTGACGAATAGCGGCAATGGATAAGACGCATGTTAGCTTGAGGCAGTCGCCAAAAAGACTCTCTGAAGTCTCGAATCCCTCAAATCTCCATCGGTGTAATCTATTTGAGAGAAGCCTGCAGCCTTGAAAGCATCTTTCCACACCATTTCATCCGCTGTAGCATGGGTGCGTTTATCGTTGAACAACCACCAACCTTCGAACAGCCCAAAGACAAAGTCGGCCCAACATAAGCGCTCCTGTACCTCCATGACAAGCGCAAATCCTTCTGGTAGTAGAAATTGATGCATATTATGGAGTGATTTGACGATATTTGGCGTAGCATGCACTGCATTTACGGCAATTACAATATGTTGAGTCCCCACCAAGTCCGCTGGAGGCGGCTTTTCGATATCGTGTGTCCTGTACGTCATGAAAGGGTACTCTTTGAATCTCCGTGCTGCCTGGGCTGTGAAGCCCGGAGCAATATCCGTGAAGGTATACTCAACGGATATGCCCGATCTTGCGAGTAGTGGTGCTAACCATTTCGTTGTACCACCTGTTCCGGCACCCAACTCGAGGATTTTCAACTTCGCTCCAAAAGGCACCATGTCTCCTCCAGTAAAGCGATGCAAGAAGTCTTCCATAACATTATGAAACGCCTTGCTGGGGTGCGCTACACCATAGATATCTTCGAGATACTCTCGACCTTCTGGCGTTCCAAAGATAGATCTGACACCATCTGTGCGACCAGCATATATTTCAGCCAGACTTTTTCCGGCATGATATATCAATTTGTTCAAAGATGTATACGCCGGAAAATCTTCGAGTATCTGCTGAAGTGCTTCCTTTTCATTATTTGGTGGTAGGGGCTTATCGGTTCGGATGTAATGGTCTCCTTCATGTCGAATGAGACCGGCTTCTATAAGCATACCCAGACAGAATTCGAGTTGTTTTTGAACATTTGTCACAGCTTTGATCGGCTTCAACTTCTGACCAGGCTTTGTTCTACCCACGTCACATCGCAGCTTCTGAAATGCTTTGATGATTAACAGGGTAATGAGCCTTTTCTGCTGCTCGTGAACATTATCGTAGTACCCCGCAAAGCCGGCTGCGGTGATAATGCTATCTGTGTTGGATTTTGTTTCTTGGAAAGTTGAGACTGACTTGGACGGCTGTATATAGAGGTGTGGCTCTCTTTCGGCGATGAGCTTCTCATCGACTGTAAAGGCTAGCTGTGTCCGAGACATCTTGTACTAATCGTGGAAGTTGAAGGAAGGCTCAAATTTCAGCCGAAGTTTCAAAGGCCTATCTACAAACCCGATGCCTGAGCAAAATCCTTTCTTTTGTCAAGGTTCGGTCAAGCTAATTACATTTCTGAAGGGGGCGGTAGGCCGGACTGACACGCAGCTGTGGGCAAAGTGGGTCCGACCTATTCCGGTGCGGCGGTCCGTTCGGAAATAGCAAAACTTGGAGACACCCAAGGCAGCTGAAATGCGGTATGTAGTAGGGCAAATGAAACCTGAATCATGAGCTTTGTAGCAACACTTGCGGAACTCGGATGCGTCCTACTATCTTCAGCAAGATGAGGAAAGCTTCCAAGTCATCAAATATGAGTTGCTACAAAAGCTGAATAATCAGGGCTGGAACATAGTCCTTTACTTATAGTGAAGGCAATTACCTCGTGGGTAGAAGATCGGTGCAAAGAGATCAGCATAGAGAGCCTAGTGTAATTTACTTTACTATCTACTACCACCTACTAATCAATAGTATACACCAACTTTCCTGCACTTACATTTCCTTGTTTCAAGTACTGAATCCCATGTAAAATACCTTCTAAGCCTGGACCGCCTTGATTGACAATCTGCCTGACTGGTCGAAACTTGTCTTCCTTGAGAAGTTCATAACTGACATTCCAGAAAGACTTGCCAAATTCATAATCCTCTTGTCTAGGCTCAACGATAGTCTCCTTCTCAATGATCTCTCCCAAAATGGTGTACCCTAGGGTGGTTGAACAGGACACTTTTGGGTTAATCTTTTTGACAACGGAAGGGACCAAGTACAACAAACTGCTGTAATGACCACCCCGGATCGACAGAGAAGCTGCACAAATACGCGCTGACTGAGCCGTTGCTATGCAATCCCAAGCATGCCTAAGCCTCCCCCCTGTGAATGCCTTGATCTGCTCTACGCAATCTTCGGCTTTGTAATCAACACAGTAGTCAGCCCCCATAGACTTGACATAGTCGAAGTTTTTAGGTGAACAAGTCACTGTGACTGTGCAGCCCGACAATTTTGCAAATTGAATACCCATGATTCCTGAGGAGGTGCTTCCACCATAAATCAGCAATGGAATGGATTTGTTTGATGGTTTGTTCGGCAAGGGTAGCCCCAAAGATTGATAAAGCCCTTGGCCCTGATAAAGGTTAGCCGTTTCTTTGAAGATAGGTTAAAAGATATACAAACCACCGCAACTAGACCAGAGCCGATGGCCGCTGCTTCAGTGTCGTCCACATGATCTGGAATCTTCAACTGAAGGCTGGCTTTTGCGATAAGAAACTCTGCGAATGCACCGTCTTCCTTTTGTCTCACATTTCTACAAAACCATACAGTCAGCAATCATCAGACCAACCAAACTAACAAACAAATTTAATGTCACTTACGAGCCATTAACAATTCCAAATACTCTATCGCCAGGTTTAAAGTCTTTGTCTACCCCAGGACCTACTTCAACGACCACGCCGGCATAATCCAAACCCGGTCGGGTGCCGGTAGGATTGCCAACCCACATAAAATCAATATGTTTCCAGTCTGACGGGTTTATGGCAACAGCGGTAGTTTTTATAAGCAAATAGCCATCCTTTAGTTTTGGAAGCGATGAGCTGGTGATCTCTGCTTGGCCACGCCCGCGGATGATGATAGCCTTCATCTGATTAGGAAGATTTTGAGCCATAATCGAGCAGCTTAACTCTAAAAAAGCTTTTGCGAATAATTTGATAAAAGACCTCGCAATCTTGTTGCGTGAATGTCCTTTGTTAAGCCTGGATGGTGGGATTTGCCCTGAAAGAACCGACTACACCTAGGTAATCTTTTCCAGTACAATAGTCTGGAATATTAGCCAGTGCTATGTCCTCAATGGGCGCGCTTGCTGTTACCGGAACCGGACGTCGGCGGCCGTAAGCTTCTCGGACCGCGCTGCATGTGCAAGGGCCAGGTTACTATACGTCGAAACAACATCCATGGACCGATACGTTCGTAAATGAAAAAACATAATTAGACTTTCGGACCATACTTACTGACCGCCAAACTCACGGGCAAGAACAAATCAGGCAAGTAGACAGAACATTACTTGGTCTTGAATGTATTAGAACCAACTTCATACTCCTCTTTTGTATTAAGAAGCTCTTTCTAGCGTTAAAGTAAATTCGATTTGCCCGTCACATTGCGTGCTGTTTATGCCAACTTTCACCTTATCTTTACATATGTAATCCTTACCTACAAGGTTCAGAAGCATCTTAACACTGTTACACTACGAGCATCTCTATGATGCTGTCCAAATCAGGCATAGTTACACCGTCCTCTGAGATGGACTCATCAGATCCTATCGCTATTGTGGGAATGGCCGTGAGGCTACCTGGAGGTGTTCACAACACTGAAGACTTCTGGAATTTGATGATAAGTTAACCCTGTTCGCGCTATAATTCGGGCGAGCGCAACCAACAATGATGGCCGGTCAAACGGCATCATGAGCCCAAACACTTATTTGCAAGAAGCTTTGATTCGAAAGACTTATGAGAAGGCTGGTATAAGCGACTTTTCGAAAACGGCATTCTTCGAGTGCCATGGCACCGGCACGCCGACAGGCGACCCGCTAGAGGTGGCAGCTGTTGCGCGAATTTGGAAAGATTATGATGGCGTCATGATCGGAGCTGTGAGCTAATGCCTTGTTCAAATATTATTGTTAAAGTTCTAATCTTGATAGGTAAAACCAAATGTCGGACATTCTGAGGGCGCTGCTGGCCTAACTAGCGTCATCAAAGCAGTTCTCTCCCTTGAGAACAGAATTATACCGCCAAATATTTATTTGGACAACCCAAATCCTAGAATTCCATGGGAAGAAGCCAAACTTTCAGTCCCGACAGAGCCAACACCTTGGCCTGCCGGCCGCGATGAGCGAATTAGCGTCAACTCCTTCGGTGTTGCAGGTTCAAATGCACACGTAAACCTCTACCGCCCCCTCTTGATGACTGAAACCTTTCTAATCATGTTTCTAATCCAGGTCATTCTTGAGTCTTTCGAAGGTTGGCAGAAGATGCAAGACGACGCTAGCTCTATCAGCTCGGATTCCGGTATCAGCGTTCGTTCAGCTGACGAACGCCTTCTGCTTTTCTCCGCCTCCCATCTGACATCCGTGGCGAAGCAAGTTGAGCAACATCAAGAGTACATCAAGACCAAGACAGCTGATTTGGACGATCTTGCCTATACCTTGAGTCATCATCGCGACCATCTAAATTGCCGCGCGTATGCCGTCACAAACCATCAGGGAGACTTTGAGACAAGCAGCTTCAAACGCAAGCCTACAGTTCCACGTCGGACTGTCTTAGTATTCACAGGCCAGGGTGTCCATTGGGCGGGTATGGGAAAAGCTCTAATTGAGAAAAATCCAGTGTTCCGAGAATCCATTCAAAAGTTGGACATCTGGCTCCAGTCTCTGCCGGAGACTTACCGGCCAACTTGGTCTCTCGAGAAGGAGCTTTGTGTTGATGATGCGTCTAGCAAAGTGGGCCAGCGTGGATATTCTCACCCTTGCGCTACGGCTGTACAAATCGCCTTGACTGATGTCCTCGCCAATCTTAACATTCGACCTCAAGCAGTCTCCGGTCACTCTGGAGGAGAGGCTGCTGCAGCCTATGCTGCCGGGAGTCTCTCAGCAGAGGCTGCCATGGCAGTCGCTTACTTCCGCGGGTGGCTCCTGGTGAACGGGACTGTTCCGCCAGGAACCATGGCTGCTGTCAGTCTAGGCCCCCGAGAAGTCGAACCATTTCTCATTCCCGGCGTTGTCATCGGTTGTGAGAATAGCCAGCTCAATACCACACTTTCTGGAGACCCAGTATGCATCCAGCATTGCATTGATCAAATTACGCGCCGCCACCCGGATGTGAAAGCCAAGGTTCTTAACCTTGAAACATCTTTTCACTCTCCCTGGATTGAGCCTCTTGCTGGGCCTTACGAAGAGCTTCTCAGGCCTTATCTATCCGAGGCTAAGGCTCCCAGTGTCCCTCACTTCTCCAGTGTCACTGGCCTTGAGATGATGGGAGATGACTTCGGGGTAAATTACTGGCGTCGTAACTTTGTACAGCCTGTGTTGTTCAACACAGCCCTACGGACATTACTGAAGAGCAACAATAGCAATCTCTTCATCGAAGTTGGTCCACACCCAGCGCTACAACGGCCTATGAATGAAATCATCCGCAGTGTTCCCGATGCCACTTGCGAGTACGTCGCCACATTACGCAGAGCTGAGGATACTAATACATCAATGCTCAAGCTGGCCGGCGAACTTTTCATTCAGGGTGTAGAGGTAGATCTATCAAGCATAATACCCAAAGGCAGAGTACTCACCGATTTGCCTACTTATCCCTGGCTTCACGACGTGTCATACTTTGACGAGCCAAGAAACCCCGCTCGTTATAAGCAAAGGAAGCATCCTCGCCATGTCCTTCTTGGGTCCAGGGTGCTCGAAGGCAATGACATTGAGCCAGCATGGAGAAACATGCTTGACTTGAAAGAAGTTCCTTGGTTGATGGATCACATTGTTAATGGCCAAGTTGTCTTTCCGGGTGCAGGTTACATGGCGATGGCGGGAGAGGCTATGCGACAAGTTTCACATGGCGAAGATGCCTATACTATTCGCGACATGTCTATTACGACTGGCCTAACGCTACCCAAAGAGAAGAAAATGGAGCTCTATACACGCATGATCCCCGATGACAAGCCATGCGAAGAGGGCCAGTGGTACAATTTTAAGATCATGTCTTACGACGGGCATCACTGGCTAACTCACTGTTCTGGCTTCATCAGATCTGGCGCTGAAGCGGAGAGAACATCCATCACGTGGAGCCAAGCAGAACAGGAGTTTTCTCGCAAGATTGAAGCTGAAGCCTGGTACAAGGCGGTCAAAGCCATTGGAATTGACTGGCAGACTGCCTTTCAAGGCCTCGATCAAATTACGGCTAGCCCCACGACTCGAGAGGCGACTGCGTCTGTGTACGATTTCGAGGACACTACACACTATGCGGCACATCCCACTCTCCTAGACCAGATATTACAAATCAACCTGATTGCTCAAACCCATGGGCAAAAAAGGCGACTGGATACAATTCTTCTTCCGACCTTCGTCTCTCGTTTGGGTGTTTTGGGCAATCAAGAGCTTTGCATGAGAACCTATGGCTGTATTAAAGAAAGTCCAGAAGGCATAATTGCAAACTCTTCGATTTACACTGAGAACGGGAAGCCAACTGTCTACCTTGAAGGCCTTTCTTACTCCGAGCTGCCTGTGGCCAAGCGTGAGGAAGTCCTGCTCGGATCAACCTTTGAGTGGAAGCAGGATATTACCATGATCGACACTGTGAATGAAGTCAATGGCAAAGACACCCTGGAGGAGCTTCACAATACGATTAGCCTCTTGGCCTTCAAAATTCCTGACTCTAAGATTATCGAGTTTGGTTCAGGAACCGTTAACGTCACGCGAGTCGCTCTTGAAGCTGTTCACCCTAGTCAACACAAGCGGCTTTATTCGGAATACACCTACGTCTGTATAGCTGAAGAGAACCTCACCCAGCTATCTGAAGACATGAGCGAATTTAAGGACGAGGAGATATCGCTTGTCGATATTGAACAGCTTTCATTCTGTAGTGCTGTCGACATTGTCATATTGCCTTTATCAACTCTATTATCCGACGAAGGGTTTTTACAAGACGATCTTACCGAGTTAAAGATGATTCAGACTACTGGAGGCAGACTAGTCGTTCACGATCTTGACGGTGCTTGCAATCGCAGCGTTCAAGAGGATGAGATCATCCAGCGATTGGATAGCCTAGGTTACACTTTCCACTCTAAAACAAGCCATGGATTGATTCTTGGGGAGCCAAACAAGAGACAACTCTCGAAAAATCACACAGATGTTGACATCCTAGCTAACGATACTCCACAAGGTAAAAAGCTTGCCATCGAAGTTCAAAATTATTTGCAAGAACAGGGCCTTCAGGCTCACATTTCTTTCAGCAAAATTGTCCCTTCTGAGTCCGTAAACACAATTTCTCTCCTGGACATTGACAGTACCGTCGTCTATGATCTCAACTCTCAAACTTTCAGGCCATTCATGGACAGTTTATGTAACCTGAAAGGTTCTCTTATTTGGGTTCTTCCCTCCGTTCATGCTTCTTGTAATGATCCTCGACCCGCCATGGTACAGGGCGCTGCGAGAACTCTTCGCATGGAAAACAAAGCAGACATCACTCTTGTCGAGGTTGATGATGTCTCAATTCAACAAAAGGGCTTCCCTAAAGCCCTCTACAAAATCTACCAAAGCCTCACCAAGCGGCGCAAAGGCGGCGAACTCGATCCTGATTACGACTATTCGATCTTACAAGGCCAAGTGCACATCCCCCGGATGTATTGGTTTGGTTTGTCCCACCCAGAAGTTGGCAAAGGTACTCCAGACAGAAGTGGAGTGCCTAAGTTCCGCGAAGATGTATCATACCTCCTTGTAGGTGGGATGGGTGGCCTTGGTCAGTCCGTCGCCACTTGGCTGCTTGAGCATGGCGCACGCAACTTGATATTTCTCTCAAGATCTGCAGCCAGTTCCAAGAACCATTCTTTCGTTAAGGAGCTGAAGAGCTATCCCAATGCTACAATCACAACTGTTTCAGGAGACGTCAGCAAACCTGAAGACGTTTCGAACGCTATCAAGCAGGCTTCTAAACCTATCGCTGGGGTTTTCCAGCTATCATTGGTTCTCAAGGTATGATTACTCGTTAATTTTCATCCAGAAAGAAAGTGCTTAAATCAACAATAGGATAACTCAACGACCGAAATGACCTTCGAAGAGTGGAATGATGTCGTCAGTCCTCGCGTCCACGGTACTTGGAATATTCACCAGGCCCTTCTTGAGGCTCAGAACCCTCTCGACTTTTTCGTTATCTTCGGGTCTGGTGGTGGTCATACAGGTTACTACGGCCAAGCCAACTACAGTGCAGCCAACACTTACCTCGATGCATTTGTGCAGTATCGGCACAAAGTTGGCCTCCCAGCATCAATCATTGATCTTGGCGTGGTAGGCGACGTCGGCTATCTCTTAGAGAGGGATGATCTCTACGAAGGTTTTAAAAACGGCGGTTTCTTCTTTCTTAAGGAGCAGGACGTCCTCGATTACACAGCAATCGCCATAGGCCATTCCACCGGTGGCCCTTACAGTAGCTTTTGTCTGGGCGGTCTTTCCGAAAAGGCACTCTCTGATCCATCCAACCGCGTCAACTGGAAAAGGGATGTCCGCTTCGCACAATCCCACTACTTCCACAAAGCTAAAGAGACGGGAGGTGGGGAATCTACGGAGGACAATGGGACGGAAGCTTTTGTAACTCTTGCGAGGTCTGATCCCACTACCCTACGAGACAGCACCTCAGTTACAGGCCTTGCTCAGCTGATCAGCGCAACGTTGAGCCATCTGATGCTACGGCCTGTAGAGGATTTCCCGCTCTCCGAAAGTTTAACATCTATCGGTCTTGATTCCATCATTTCCATTGAGTTGGTAGATTGGATCCACCAGCAATTCCACGTTGGCATGACTTCAATGGAGGTTACTCAGTGCGCCTCACTGATTCACCTTGCTGAGAAGATTATTGAACAGTTGATTGCGGCATCTTAGAATGTACAATGATTGTTAAGGTCTATCTTATTTTGAATGATAGTTAATACGCAGAAAGTTTTCATTTAGCTAGAAAGATATATAAGGGTTCTTGTTGTTGAAAGCAAGCAATTCGTAACACTCCTTTTGACTTGTTTCCTCGGGGTTGGTTAGGATAGACGCCCGTGCTAAAGGATCTATATTAGCGACGCAACAAAACTCTGTGCTAGTATACGTATTGAAAGCATTTACAAGATAACTTCATTTGCATTTTCGACCTTAAACTGAATCCCCCGTTGTCACAAGATCTCTGATACCACACAATAACGCAAAAACGCAATCCCGGACATCATAAGTAAATTTCAAACTAGCCACACAAAATAATATTCAAATGATATGCTTAGGTAGTAAGACATAAAAGACGCTATATGAACCTTCTTGGTCTTCTTGGACAATGTTATTCTTTATATTCCAGATGTTATCTCCCCAAATATTTCCTACCACGACACGCAGCTTAGCCCTTCCTGTTTACAAGGATAATATGGTTTCACCTGAAAGCGTTTCGGTTAATATGTAATAAGCCAGAGGTATTTGCAAGAATAACACATACAATATCGGGATGCTCTGGCCAAGGGGTGCCATGGACACTGAGTTCATCAAAATCTTTCGGGGGATTCTCCAAGATGGTATCCATCAAGTACTTTGTACAATGTAGTGTATGCGTGTAGTTCCAAGGCGCATCATAACCGTTGATGAGCCATAAATGAGTCTGTCTTAGCGTATACATGCAATGAAACGTGTGTTCTTTCCTCGTTACCCAGCCAGCAGTAAGAACTTCGCTTGTTGGAGGAATTTCATGCTTTCCACCTTTGTCGTAATATCTATGCCATGGGCCTCGGCCATGGAATTCCTTGAGTAATGCCTGATTTTCCGAGTCCATATAGGCTTCTTTTGGGTACCATTTAAAAGACATGGTGTCGAACTCGCATCCTCTGTCTCGCGCGATCTGTGGGAGTGCACCATTAGGTGCACAAACATATCCGGATGTGTCCGGTTTACGGCATGGTTCGCACGATGGAAAGAAAGCCAAGCCTGAGAGGACGACAAAGATAAGGCTGAGGGGAACAACGAGATGCCATGTCTTCCACGCCATGTCAAAACGCTGCGGTGGCATGGTTAGGAGTCTTTTCAATACGTCAGCTCCAGACTCTTCGTCGATTGATGATGATGGTATAAAGGGCTCTTCTTCAAATGACTCTCCTTCTGTTTCGTCTTTGAGAAGGTAGCAGTCCTTATTAGATGTAGGCGACATCATCTTGGCAATAATGAAGATTTCCTAGGATTATTAGAACCAGTAGTAGTCAAAAAAACATACGAGACAAAAATGCTGACTTATTTGGGATAAGTCAGCTTGCACATCCTATGCAGTGAGGCAGTACCTTGGCCCTAGTAGTTCGAAGAATTGAGGCGAAGATACCACAAAGGCTTAGATGACCATCTTGTATGTAATCCAGGGAAGGCATTGTGGTCATGGCATAATTCTAGCTGCACAGGGTCTTGGTAGGACATTGGCTCATCCCAGAAACTTGAGGTGCGGACCGAAAAGATTGGTATCTGGCGCACGGGCAAATATCTCGACCCGGCTCGGTCCGAAGTCATTCAACATTTCGGACATGCAAGTAGTGTAGGAACGGTTACCGCTGAATGGCACAGAAATCCCTTGTCGGCAAATCAAACAAATCATGTACATTCTTTCTACTAGTTTGAATGGCCTTTGCAGCTTACTCCTAAGACCTGAATGAAACATAGGTGATGATAACATCAGATGCTTGAAAATCCCACCGTGCGGGGAGGCTGCCCAAGTTCAAACGAAAATGTGTCCACTAACATTAAGTCAGATATTATAGACATAAAAAAAAGTGTGAGACATTTTACTCTACATACGTATTATCTGGCAGCATTCAAATATCACAACCCTTAGTTAACAGCAGCACAAATTTCAAACGTCATCCTACCCAGACAAGAGTATACATTTTTGAAATCCAGTCTGTATACCAAAGGTGGTTTCATAAATTTGCTAAACTCAGCCATATGAATATGATAGAATAGATACCTCAATTGATCCCAGTTTAACATGAAAATCGATCTTCCGCATTCGTCTACTCTAGTTGACGCGCTATGGACTCAAGACCGACTTCATGTCGCCTACTGTACGATGTTGGCCACATACCACCATCTCCAAAATGCCAGAATATGCTTCGGCTAATGTGTTTATCGTCTGTTTCGAATAAATCGATTCGTAGAATGTTAAGGAAGCCTCAATTCGAAGGGACTTTTCATTGAAGGCAAGAACCAAAAATTGCTGCAAACACCCATTAGTTTCAAGGAACACGACATAACTAAGCTCTTTAGTGCTTACTTCATGGGGATCCTGTTTCCATATAGAGCGGAAGTTGACGTTTGCATCAACGCCAGAATACTTGACCTTTCGATAATTGACAAGAGTATTAAAAAGTCCAGTTTTTTCGTATCCAAGTTGACGTTCTACTTCAGTCAAATCGAATATTTTGTGCTGCAAGCTGCGAATACAGTCATTCTGGAAGTCGCGTAAGGCTTCGATGAGACTCGAGGAGTCGTTCAACACAGCTCTTGCTATCATTAGTGACAGCATAGGTCCAACGATTTCTTCAGCTTGTGGCAAATCGATATCTCGATCAGACGCCAGGTGGCCGAAACAAACAGTCGAATGACCTGTGTAAACATGCAAAACCATAGCCCAAGTAAATTGAAGCAAACTTGACAAAGTCACTTCGGTGCCCCGTGAAAATTCTCGCAGTTCGTCTGTGATGCTTAAAGAGAAATTGATGGAGTCCATCGAGTGAGGGTCGGCCGTGCTGCTGACAAGAGACTCCGAGGACACCATGCACGGGCTGGTATTCTTCATTGTCTCTACCCAAAACTTGTTATTTGCGTGTATAGCTTTGGTGCGACAGTGATTCTCAATGTAATAGCCGAAACTAGTTGTGATGCCTGGTGTCGGGACCTGGTCACCGTAAAACCTGGAAAAATCGCTAAAGACGTGGGCTAAGCTGACATGGTCTATTAGAACATGGCTCATAACAAAATGAACGTAAATGACACGATCCAATGTTACGAATATTCGAACAGACAACGGTGGGGCTTCGCTTTTGAATAACGCTGAACGCGTTTTATTGAGATGTGACTTGCTTTGCCGGAGGGCATCATGCTCTGACATGGCCGATAAAGTCGCAATATCTGCCCTATGCCTCTTCAGCACTTTCTGAAAAACTTTCTTGGTCTTTGGATCTAGTACTAGGGCGGTTCGAAGAATACTGTGGCAATCGACTGTTTGCTGCCAGGCACGGAAAAGCTTGTTGAGATTCACTGAAGCGTCTTGACCGATATTTTCCAAGCACACCAGGCTATTAAACAAGTAAGGTTTCTGGGCCTTGTTCTGAAATGCATTGTACATTCTCTCTTGAAATGGAGAACATGGAAAAACTGATTCCACATTGCTGTCGGTCTCTGTGACCTTTTTAGCGAATGATGAGAGGTGGAATTCGTCGTCAGGCGACCGTGGAGGTGTTGGTATTAGGGATTCAATCGGTGTGGATGGCGTAGCAATTGACGTAGTGGGTGGTAAAGAAGCTCGCGCAGCTACTACTGCCAGTTGCTTGATCGTTTGATTCAAGAGAACTTCTTGCGTTGTAACTTGGAGACCTGATGCCCGGCAAAGTCGCATCACTTGCATCGCTGCCAATGGTGAAGTTATTAGCTTTCTGGTACGTTGCGTTTCTTAGTTTGAAACAGGATACATACCATATATAGAGTCACCTCCAAGTCGGAAGAATGACTGATCCAGGGCGATATGGTCTATTTGCATTAGTGTCGATCTTTTCATATGTGCCATAATCTTCAAGCTTACCCGGCTCAATCCCCAGCACTTCGCTCCAAATCTTTCGAATCTTTTCTTCTGTCTTTGAGCCAAGGGCTTGCTGAGAACTTCTGTATTGGCCCAGTTCCAAAACAGACTGTAGTGTCTTCTTGTCCAACCCTTCAACCCAACTGACCACGCGTCGGTAGTCTAACTTGAGTGACAGCTGAACTGGCAGACTTTGTACAATGAGCCATGTTTCTGGTATCATATAACTAGGTAAGTCTCTCTCCATTGCAGCTGTAATATTACTCAAGATCTGATTCACTTTTTCACAGTTGTCACTACCTAGGGCTTCCCTGTCAACTGTTTTAAGCGCTTGAACTCCGTAATTTCCGGTATCGATTCCCGCTGAAAGAGCTGTCAAACTTGCAACGGCGACCAGGCGCCCCTTAAGAAGTCCGGCTTTGGGAACCAATATGGCGTTATGTTGTATCTCGCGGGATACCTTATTAAGGTGATGCTGTATCTCATCCAGCTCAACTCTCTGACCACGAACCTTGACTTGGGAATCATCCTTCCGCCGCTGGATGAGCAGACTTCCGTCTTCGGCATATCTGACAAGGTCCCCCGTCTTATATAGCTTGCGTTTTGGCGAACTGCCAAATATTGACTCTCGCTCAACGGCCCATAAGGGAGGGTCAATGAAAGCGGCTTTTGTCTTGGCATCATCAAAGAGATAGCCCTTGCCGACGATAGGACCATCCAGAAGTAGCTCGCCAATAGCTCCAATGGGCATTAGAATATCATGATTATCCGGATGGACAACCCAACCTCGACATCCGACAGGAAAGCCAATGTTTGTTGCGTCGGTGTCAACACTGAACTGAAGACCAACTGTACTAGTAACAGAGCATTCAGTCGGCCCGTAACTTGGCCTCATGTGTATCTTATCTGCCCATCGTTTGATAAGGTCCTGATCCATAGGCTCTGCATGGACAGTAATGAATTTAACAGGCTTCAGATCTTGTGGGTCCAGCGTCCGGAGAAACGAAGGGGTGAATGCCGCCCAATTAACCTTCTTGCGTTTTACAAACCCAGGAATATCGGTCATGCGCTCCTTATCGGAGGGAATGCAGATACACCCGCCCGCAACTAGCACTGTGAAAATTTCTTCAAGTGAGGCATCAAAGCAGTAGTTTGTGAACTGAAGGACCCTAGAATTGGGCTTTATCTGAAGCCAAGACTTATTTGCCACCACCGCAGAGCAGAAAGACTCGTGCTGGATGACCACACCCTTGGGTGTGCCCGTTGTCCCAGAGGTGAAGATGATGTAAAGAGTGTTGGACGGTTCTGCCGAGGCCGAGACAACATCCTTCACACCGGGGGTCGGCAAGCCCATGACGGAAGGCTTGTTGATGATGAGAATTGTGTCAACAAAAGATATGAAGTTGTCATACTGCTCAAGGGATGCGAGACCAATGCGTGCCTTGGTGTGTTTAATCACGAACTCTGTTCTCTTGGGAGCTCCTTTCGGATCAATGTGAACAAATGCAGCACCGGACTTGGCAACGGCAAGCATGGCGACAACCGCCCAAAGTGACTTTTCGAAGCAGAGAACGACAACCTCATCCGGCTTAGCTCCAATAGCCTGAAGTTGCGCTGCGAGTTTTGTAGAAAGCAGGTCCAACTGTGCATACGTTAAATCACCATCCCATGATGATATTGCAGGCTTCGAAGGTTGGTATAGCGTTGTGTCCGATATCATTTCATGAATACAACGTTTGCTGGCTTCCATATCTTCGGAGTTCCATTCTTGTATTTGCTCTCTGTCCAAGCGCGTGGCGAGATTGAGCTCCTTAATTATGCCATTCGGGTTACCAACCAAGCAATCAATGGTGTTGAGGTAAACTGCGAGTAGACGTTGAGCTTGAGCCTCAGACATAAAGTCTTTTGGGTATTCTATGGTAACATCAAGGCGGTCCTTGTCTTCATTTATACAAACGGCAAGATCATACTTTTTTCGACAATCGTCAGTAAACTTGGAAAGAAAGTCTGCAATAAGAAAGCACTCACCTCGCTGGTATCATGAGCGTTTAAAAGATCGTATTTGACGCCGGACGAAAAAGAAGCGGTGCTAGTCTTCTGGAAGTTGAGTAGGGTATTAAATATTGAATCTGCACTGCGCTTGATGGTATGTTGAATACGAGCAAGAGATATTGCTTGGTATGACATGTGTGCAATGTTGTCTTCGTGCAATGCATTAATGAGTTCGAGAATTCGTTTTGTTACTGGCAGTTGAGCTCTGATTGGGACAACAGTAGCCATTGGCCCAATGATTTCTTGAGCTCCAGGGATTGGTGCGTCCCTACCGTGGCACAGGAGCCCAAAGACAACATCGTCAGTATTGAGATAGACAGCCAGAACAATACTCCAAGCCGCCTGAAAGATAATCGGCAAAGTGACATCCAGTTTTCTACAGCCAGTCTCCAGCGTCATTTTGTCGGAGACAGTTAACGTTGTGCGAGAGAACTCAACCTTTTGACCTGGTGGAGTCCGTGTTTGAGAAAGCTTTGGAAACTGACAATTTGTGACTCCGCTTAAATATTGAGTCCAATAGTCAGTTATCTTCCCCAGGTCCTGTTCCAAAATAAATCTTATATAGTTGGAATATGGACAGATTTCTGATTTTTTCCGACCCTCGTACTCATTCAGAAAGTCGCGAATAAGAAGCCTTGATGTTGTGCCATCTGTTATGATGTGGTTCTTATCCAGAAAGCAGTAGGCCGAGCCATCCTTTGCTGAGAATATGCTGAGTTTGTGCAGAATCTTGCCGCCAAGTGGTGAAAGACCTGGGTTGTTGGATCGGTTTTCCCAAAGTCGTGAGAGGTCTTGCGCATCTTCAAGTCGTATAATCTCAATATCTGGTGTGGCCGTTTTCAACACGACTTGTAAAAACATTCCTTCATCATCTTCCAGGAACAATGTACGCAGGATCTGATGGGACATTACGACCTGTTTCCATGCGGCGTAAAGCCTTTCAGGCTGTAGCAATTCTTGGCTATGTAGCCTGAAAAGAAAATGTTGGCTGTACACATTGTTCGGCTTTCTCAGCTGTGACAACATCAGGCTATCTTGGATAGGCGAACACGGATACACGGCTTCGATTTCGTCTGCTTGGACACTAAGCCTAGACCTAGCCAATTTCAGAACGGACGGGAGTCTCTTTGGTTGAATGCCAAAGGAAAGTGGCATGTTCTCGGCCGGTGGCTCTGGAGGATTTTGAGATGCCAGTCGGCTAATAATCTGCCGGAAGCTTTTCTCAAGGCGACAAGCCCAGCTCATGAGTTCATCTTGATGGCTCATTTGGGAGTTCCATTCGATTTCAACTGATAGTTCATCATCCTTCATGACAGCAAGGATGGAAATGAGAGCGTATCTTGCTGAGTTGGCACGTTGCTGACGTCTCAACTCTGAAAGCCGCGATTGTAAGTTGTCATCACACCTTTTAAACAGTGAACCTTGTCTTTCGAATTGCTGGAAAGCGCCTAGATAGTTGAGCGTGATCTCCATCGGCCAGTGGCGAGCTTTGAAGTATTCTTTACTACCACCGCTGCTGAGAAATCCTGACATGAAGTACGGAAGTCCACTCAGAGGTGTGTTGAATCGCAGTTCGCGTACGGTGCTTAGAGTGTCCAGAATATTATCATGGTGTTTTACAAAAACTGGTGAGAACGTGGTGAACCAACCCACAGTTTCCCATGGATTCATGTCGGACGATAACAACTCTCTTCCGTGCCCTTCGATGAAAACAGCAGGCGAACGGTCAAAAACATCATGGAAGGATTCCCCGATTGAGGTAATCATGATATCCAGAGGTGCAAAGTTGTCGGTATCGCGTACTGAAGACAGTGCTCTTCCAAAATTTGGACGAAAAGCAAGTTTATGAAGGACGGAGTCTTTAAAGCGATTGTCCTTGCCATTCATGTTCCAATATCCAAGGTCAGTAGCGGGCACTTGATCAGGTACGGGAAGGACGTCCTCGATTTTGAGGTTTCTTGCATGTTGTCTTTGTGCAGAACACCATGTTTGGAAACTCGTCATCTCAGCCTCCACTTGACCACCAAATAGGAGGAAATTCTCAAGTTCGCGGAATAGAGTTCGCCAAGAAACTGTATCGACCACAAGATGATGGATGGTGATAGAAAGCAACGTCTGACGACGTGTCTTGAACACGTCAATCCCAACTAGAGGCCCATTTGTAAGGTCTAAAGACCTTTTACCGTCGGCAATACACTCTATGACGTAGTCAAGTTGATCGCGGCTGTGAAATCTTATTCTGTAGCTTTGATTGGCTTCTGACTTGGATATTCTCTGCATCCACTCGCCATTGTGACGTTCAAATCGTGCTCGTAACATAGGGTGAGCAGCTGAAATAGAGTTTAGACCATTTAGGAGCGCTTCCTGGTCTATGTCTTTGGTAAGTTGAACTACCATCGTTTGCTGATCTAGAGCGTCTCCGTTCGGCGAAGCTTGGAAGTGCATTTGCTGAATTGGCGACAGAGGGAATGGATCTTCTGTTAATGTGCTGGCTTCAAAAGTCGGTTTAAAGGGGGTTTTAATCGTAGGAGCGGATAATTTGGCCAGTCGTTCAATGGATCTGCAACGAAGAATATCCGCAGCTAATATGTTCAGCCCCTTTTGTCTCGCAATGCTGCTTACTGCCATGGCCGATATCGAATCACCACCTGGTTTCTCGTTAGCCATTGACTTGGATTACTGTTAATGCAACGCTTACCTAGGTAATAAAAAGAACTATTCCAGTTTATCTGGTCTTTAGGAACGTTTAGAACCTCGCTCCAGATGCTCTGCAACAGCAGTTCTGTTTCATTCCCTGGTCGGTCCACACTTTTCTCCTCCATGCGAGATAACAAATTGGCATACTGGCTTTCCGTCATGGTTTCGAGATAATTAGTTACCTCCTTCCGCTCAAGCTTGCTTGACGAATTCCTAGCGATCGACTTTGCGATGATCCAAATTTCGGGCGTCATATAATGCGGAACTCTGTCCAGGAGAAAATCTCTCATGCAGCCGATTTGCTTAAGCCAAGTGCTTTCCAGAAACTCCACTGGTGCAGACAGAGTTGAAACTGCAGCCTCTGAGTGCGAGCTGGAAGAAGCAAGTGTGACCAATGCGACCAATCTCCCTCCGCAGGGTCCCGACTTGGGGACAAGAACAAGGCAATTCCGTACTCCAGGTTCTAGTATCAACTGCCGTTCAATCTCACCCAACTCAAGTCTCTGACCACGGAGTTTAGTCTGGCTATCTGCTCGCCCCACGAAATGAATATCACCCTTGGAGTCATACTTGACAAGATCACCACTTCTGTAAAACCGCTTCTGAGGGGCCCATTTGAGGCCAGTAACGAAACACTCCGCTGTTTGTTTCGGATCATTCAGGTACCCTCGGGCAACGATCGGTCCTTCGATAAGTAGCTCACCCACAGCACCGATAGCCTGGAGTAAGTTTGGTTCTTCGGGCCGAACTACCCATGACCTGCAGCCGGGAATTGATTTGCCGATGTTGGTCGGATCACTTTCAGGTGTAATCTTCGGACTGATAGTGCTAGTTACGCAGCACTCAGATGGTCCGTAAACTTGCACCAACTCAGTTTGACCAGGTCTTGACCAGTTCCGAATGTTCTTTCCTGACATTGCCTCGCCACCGAGAACCATCGTCTTCATGGTTGGCATTATAGAAGGGCTTAGCATCTCGGCAAACGACGGTGTAAGATGAGCCCAGTTGGCTTGTGACTTGGTGGCAAACGCGGTTAAATCTGGCAAACTCAGGCGCATCTCTTCAGAGGGGACGCAAAGGCAAGCCCCAATTGCGAGAGTTGTGAGATGGTCTTCCATGCTGGTGTCGAATCCGTATGAGGCAAACTGGAGAACTCTCGAGGAACTGCTGAGGTGAAGACCATGGTTGTGGGCCTCAAAAGCGTACGCATATGAGCCATGCTCTATAATTACGCCCTTAGGTACTCCAGTAGATCCAGAGGTAAAAATGACGTATATAGGATCGTCATTGACCACAGATGGTACAGGCCGCGAATTTGGTGTAGAGGCTATGGTCGAAAGCTGTTCTTCGTTCAGTTCCAAAATGTTTCGAGCCGAAGAATCCAGTTTCGACGCTTGCTGCGATGAACATATGACCAAGCCATAATCCTCTGAAATACCAACTTGTTTCAAGATCTCCCGGTTTCTCCTGGGTGGATTTGAAATATCCAGTGGGACAAAGGCGTTTCCACTTTTCATAACAGCTAAAAGAGCAACTGAAAACCATTTTGACTTTTCAAAATAGAGCGGAACATAGGCTCCAGGGCCGATACCGAGGTTGATTATGAAACCGGCTACGCAGCTTGCAGCTTCATCGAGTTCCTTGTAGCTCATATCACCGTCCCAGGCGCAAATGGCGGGAGCGTCGGGATGAATACGAGCATTGTTTTCAATGAGTTGGTGAATGTGGGTGGGAGGGGTATTAGGGACAAGAGCGTTGTTATTCCAATCTGTAATCTGATGCATATCATGCGGGCTGATTAGAGTCAAAGGTTGGATTGAAGTTTTGAGGTTTTTCGCTTCTATCATTCTTTTAAGCATAGTCGAAAAAGTGCAGGAAACATTCTGAGCCATGTTTGATGACAGAGCCGCTGTCGAATAAGCCAATCGTACACGGATATCTGAGTCGGAATAGACAATCTTTATGACAATGTCGAAGTCTGACGCATTGTGAGATGCAACAAGCTTTACCGTATTTTCATTGTCATTGATGTCGGGAGAATAATATGAAGTCATAATCGTGTTGAATAGCTTATTTTCATGGCTTCCTAGAATTCTTTGAACTTTTCCAATCGAAAAGCATTGGTGTGGGAGCGAGTTGACAAAGTCCTGGCGAATTCCCTCGAGAAGATCACCGATCGACTTCTCTTCGATGCTGTTCACTCGACAAACTAGGAGGTTCATCATCGGACCGACAATCTCCGAAGCTCCGACAATGGGCAGACTACGTCCCGACGACAGATAACCAAAGCAAACATCGCGGTCTCTTGTGTATGTGTGCAGAACCAGAGCCCAGACGGCTTGCAACACATTCGAAATAGTGACGTTATAGTCGCGGCAAAATGTTCGAAGTTCTTGCATGGAGGTGTCTAGCGATATCTCCAAAACTTCGGCGGATCCTCTCTCGCCCTTCTGGTTATCGTTCATAGTTGGGAAGTAACACGGCTCTGCTTCTTCGAGAAAGTCGATCCAATAGTTCAGTGCCTCGTCTTCATCGACCTGGTTTTGGAGATAATCGATATACTTCCCGTAGCCCGCTGCTGGGCCTATCACCGGGAGGCCCCTCAAACCCTGGACGAGTTCGTGGATGATGATCATAAGAGAGCTGCCGTCCACGGTAAGATGGTTGAGATCGAGTTGAAGGAAAACTTGGCTGGTTTTCTGCTTGTCAGGCCCGCAGTAAATGGTAACATGATGTTGATCCTCCTGGTCATTGGAAATGTCTTTTGCGAACTGCTGATGTACTTCTTCAACATGATGATATTGCCTCACTGTTATCCGCCCAGGCTTTTCCTTGAGAACGACTGCGTCGAGCAGCCTTTCCGAAGCTGGGTCCGATGTTTCAACGTATATAGTCCTGAGAGTTTGATGTCTGCGAATAATATCGCCCCAGGTGGCTTTGAAATGCTCCAAATCAAACCCAGATGCCGCTACGAATAGGCCGCGAGTTCGGTATAGGCGTTTTGAGCTCATTTTCTGTCCGATATACATGCTCTCCTGCATTGGGCTCAATGGGTATATATCCTCGACATCATCCTGACTCAATGCATGCTTGTCCCTTAGCTCCTGCAGTATCTTGCTGAAATTGTATGTATCTGGCATGAGGGGATATGTTTTATGCCGAAGACTACCACGTTGTTTTAGTGTGGAAGAATCATGATGACCTTGGATTGAGATCGCTGAGAGGTGTGCTATTTCAGCCATAGACTTGTGGAGAAGATCTTGGAAGCGAACAGCGAGACCTTGTTCAGTGCATTTCTGGAAGAAATTTACTGCTTTGAAAGAATCCCCTAGTCATGATATCAGGATTTCCCCCTTCAAAAGATCACGCGAAAAAAACTCACCTCCTAAACTAACAAAGGAAGAAACACTCTCTATATTCCCCACCGGAATACATAGGATCTCAGAGCATATGGCTGTCAGCCTTTGTGAGATTTCATGCTCGTGCAAGACTCGAGCTTCTCCGTTCATTGTAAATCACTCTTTTCTGTCGGTGGATGCTATCAATGTCTTCTCATGAGTACACGGATGATTGATAATGGCCATACCGTTGGATGTCGGAAAGTGTTGGGGATTCAATGAAAGAAAAACCGTTTCATACAGTTGGAGAACGGGCCAAACAGAAACCACTGCATATGGTAGCAGCGATTGTGGCAACCCATACAGGGCTGTCCCTTGAGGGCATTAGTTTCTAATCGCCAGCTTTCTTTTCTTTTTTCCTTTTTTTTTTCCTGGCTGGGGGCATTCTTCTCTCAATTGTTGACCAAACGGTATGCTGCCCGCACAGGCAAGCCTGTTACCCAGTGCTTCAAATGGACCACACACATTTCGAGGTCACATTGTGAGGGGCATGTCTCGGACCGAAGTTTAACTTTAATGCTCACCACAATTCACATTCTACGAAACTTTTCAATGGAGGTAAGCGGCGGAATATCAGATATATTGGCGAGTAACGGGAGGGAATAGGTTATATATCAGACGGCCTGGCTGAGGCACGTTGGCGACTATGACACGCACACTGCACGGATCTGGATATGCAACCGTCAAGAGAGCATCCTAAGTTTGGGATGGTTCTCATGATTCTAGAACATCAATTCATCTTCAATGCGGCGCTCGAAATTGAAGTACTCCACTACGTAGTGCATTCAATCTTACGAAGGATGATTCATGATAAAATTATGGCAAGCTCTGTGGTCCATGTCTGTTCGCTTGAACTCTCTGCTATGACTGGCCCATCTTTTATGAACCCAATGCTTACGATTTCTTGATAGTTCGCGGAAAATGTATCCGATTGGGTTCTGAAATGTTAAACCGTATTGATCTAGAGACCGAGCTGGCAAAGTGCCATGCGGGTGAACTAGAGGTGCATCGGCAACTTGGTTGTCTTAAAAAGGTAACGCGAAGCGACTTTCAATCTGATCATGTTCCTCGGGTTTGTTCTTTTCACACTCTTTTTGATGAAAACGCGAAATGATCTCATGTGGCAATATCTCGACTACCTTGGTGAAAGCCGGGCGACCAAGAGGCTGAAGCGAGGAAGCATCTGCATGGCACCAACAGTTCGATAATGTTTCGCAACGCTGTTTCGGGCAACCTTCGTCCCAAAAGCCTAGCCATTAAACATTTGCAGTGACGGCTGCCCAGCACGCGACACCAGTCGCCGGAGTGGTGTCTGACAGTGTTGGGATGCCGGAACCAAAATGGCTCGGCTTTTTGGGTTGTGCTTGCGTCCAAAAAGGAATCAAACACCCGGTCATCCACGGATCTTCGGGAAAACATACATCGTCTTGCTCAGCTACCGATTTGCCCTGTCACAGTAAGTTGTAATTGTGAAATATTGGTCTGATGTTTATGACCTTGCGCTCCTTCGAATGAGGAGCTGATATCACTACCCCGCTAGCCTCTCGACATTCGTGCATACCGAAGCTGAAAATGGATTGAACTGTAAAAATTCTGTTCAACTACCTGGAGAATTATCTCAAACTCAATGGATTTGTAAGATCAAGGGATTATGTTAGCATTAGAACTCTGTTTTTTTTTTTTTTTTTTCTTCTACTTCTATTGTTTTGCCTCTCTCCTACCTCATTTTTGTGTTCGCTTGGGTATGATGACGCAGTCGAAATGATTTGTCAAAAGATAAACACATTTATCGTTGAAAATGAATCAGTCTGGCTCCTTCGCATTTCTTAATCCAGCTGTGCAAGGACCAAAGAGCCCTCATAGATCCTGTTAGCCAGTCAAAATATGAGTATCAGTGATGAATGTTTCCCACACAGACATAGATCGACAGGTAATGGTTTCTTAGGTGGAAGGAATTCAACCTTGCGTCGCATTGTTGTAAAAATGTAATAAGAAAAATCAGTATCCCTTCAGAAAATTTCAGCATTACAGTAAGTAAGAGCTCACTCAGTATCATGCAGCGGTGTGAACAAATCATTCCTGTGATTGACAAAAGAACTTTAGAGAAACCGAAAATGCCGTAACCGGATCTGGACATCCGTAAGTAAGCACTGCCACTTGTTCCAGGCATTGTCCTATTGGTGGAGGGGACAGGAACAGGGGACCGCGTGCTGTACTAAGTAGATCCACGCAGTGGGCGGGAACCCAACCTAGCGCCTGCGGAGCCAAAAATAGACCGCTGTAGGTAGGTATGAGGCTGCCTGCATCTCCCCAAGACCCAAGCCCCATTCTAGTGTGATGACGATGACGCTGTGGGTTAGAACAACAAAACGCCATTTCTTTACAATGAGCAACAGCCATTCGCTAGATGGATATGAGAGACCACATGCTGAACTCTAGGATCTGTTGGCATCTCCACTCTTGACTGTGAGATCTGAGCTGTATCGGCAATGAATGACGGGCTTTCTGGTGGTGAAAACGCTAATACACCAATTTCACTCATATCAAAACTATCTTCACAATGGTTTTTTTTGGCATTAGCGCACCTAGATATATTTTTCGATTAGAGATGTTGTCGATTTACCAGAAAGCCAAGTTGTATCCGCGATGCGTTCAAGAAGCATCAGCCAGCATTAAAGCCCATTCTCTACACTACCTTAGTTCAGCTGCCGGCAGGTTCGGATGGAAATAAAGATAAGCCTATTCAGAACATTCTAATCCTTGTATTGCCAACACAACCCTGTAGGCTCAAGGCAACATTTGAACAAATAGCGACAAACTCACCTCACTTTAGAACCCCGTTTTTTCCCTAGGTTGCAACTTAAATGGCTTACTGGATCGTGCCATATCAAACATGTTGATACGACCATGAAAGGCAGTGCTACCTCCGCTTACGTTCCAATGGTGTTGGGTGATAATTTTGCTTGCCGTCTGCTAAACTACCATACCTGCAGCCTGATTCCGGCAATCCTTTAGGATCTCGTTCCATGCGCTAGCGTACTGTGACCCCTGTAATCATTGTTTTCTCAGCCACTGGCACCGCAAGCGAGCTGCTGACTGTCAAATTTTATCAAGTAAACCAGGCCAAGCCCACAAGGCCCACTAATGTCAACATCATGTTGTGGAACGGAAACGAGGGTAACACGTTCCTTAGGCGGTCACCAACAGCCAATCCACCTCAAGTCCACATTGCATATCTGACAGGGGGAATGAAGGTTCCTAGGTGGGCTAGAGCCGTTTGGCAGCCGCCATTCGTTGTACTGAAAAATGAGTGGCATCAGGACTTTGGGGCTGTAAGGAACAACAGGACCTAGCACCAGGCAGACTAGTGTAGACTTGGCAAGCCACCTTCAGCTCCCCGGCTTTCCAGCTGACCCTGTTCTGCCTAGCCGGCGTTGTCTTACGGTCTAAGCCCGACCTTGCGTTAAGGTTACTTGTCGCTCTTGGTCGGTTGCCGGCTCCCCAGACGCGGCTGAGAAGGATTGGCAGGGGAGCTAGACGACCTAGCACCCAGTACTATTATTGTCCTATCCAACTGGCATTTGGACTATTAAGGCCGAACCAACGCCCTCTTGAACTTGTGACTTGTATCGTAGCTTTCCCATCAGCCTTAGCATTCAAACAAATATTGAGGGCATCATAAGGGCCTTGACGTCCTTATTCCTCCTGTCTTAATCTTTGTTGACGCCCAATACTTTGAACGACTAGACCTTCTCATTAGACATATACCCCGAGATGCGCTTATCACTACCTTGGGCACTCGCCCTTGCGAGTACAACCACCGCCGCGAACCTTCATGCGGCAAACAAGGCCAACAACAAACCTGCACCAACCTCAACATCAAAAAACCCATGCAATGTGGCAAAAGCTGCTGCTGAGTACTACCTTGCAGCATCTCCAAGTGCTACTGTAGCTTTCATTGAGCCCTCGCTAGCCTACAACTGTCTGAACGCGGTTGCCGTCGACAAAGAGAGGGACTTGGATCTACTCAACTATCTAGAGCCCTACATTGCTTTCCAAAGCACCCTAGAGCCTCTGGCGGACCCACCAAAGGGATACTTGATTCCCGGTGTTGATGTGATAGCTGGGTTTGGACAAATCCGAGCCAAGCTTATGAAGGGTCACTACAAAAGTCAACTTGATTTTGCTCTGGAGCTCCGTCATCTGGTAAGTGTAGCATCATCTCGTCAATTCTTTCTTATCTAACTATTCAATAGTTCTCCCAAGCCTCTGACGGTCACTTTTTGTATAAACCAGCCCTTTTGAGTATTTTTGGCTTCATCAGCAAGAATGGCGTGGTCTCTGTTGCAGATGAGGCCAATGGACTCCCCAGTGTATATCTCCGCAGCGACTTCGAGAAGGATGTTTCGAGTAACACGGATGTTTATGACATTGAAAGTATTGACGGGGTTCCCGTTCACGAATTCCTCGAGGCTCAAGCCGCTCGCCAATTAACCCAGGATCCGGACGCTAAATATAACAAGATGTTCAGCAACCCTGCCATGGCTGCCCAAGACGGTGGCGATGCTTTCACAATCAGATTCGCAGGCAATACTCCGGACCAGGAAGTGATCAAGTTTACTAACGGTACAACCTACGTTAACAAGCTATATGCGAGGATCTCAAAATCGGCATTGGAGCATCTCAACACTCCCGAGGAACTACACGAATTTTTCGAGGTCCCCGCCACAAGGACCGCAGAAGTACCTTCTTCGAAGCCGAGCGCCTCTAAGCCCACATCATCAGCAAAACCTTCCAAGACTGCACTTCCAGGATACCCAAAACCGGTTTCGTTCCACGCCCACGAGTGGGTGTCTGGATACTTTCTTGAGGGCAAAGGATACGAAGATGTTGCCGTGCTGGCCGTTCTTTCCTTCTCCCCTTGGAGCGTAGCTTCCGGCTCCGTGAACGGTTCATTTGAAATTCAGGAGGCTCGCCGTACAGTCGCCGAGTTCCTCAAGGAAGCCAAGAAGGCAGGCAAGAAGAAGCTCGTCATCGACCTGCAAGGCAATGGTGGTGGCTATGTCGTCGCCGGTTTCCAGCTCTACAATCAACTCTTCCCCAAGGCTGCTGACATCTGGGATGGAAACCGTCTCCGGGCCAACGAAGCGCTCAACGCTCTTGGTGCTACCGCCGCAGACACATCTCCGAAGATTTTGGATGATTTCATTGGATCCTTCCTCGACGAGAAGCTGAAGCCGTACGAGACCTGGGGTGATCTCTACGGGCCTCAGTTCATCGGAGAGCAGAACGTGACTAACCTACTCCGCTTCGACCACGCAGAGCTGGGCTACCCCAAGAGCAAAGAGGATCAACTGTTTGACCCGAAAAACATTGTCGTCGTCACCGACGGCGGCTGCGCGTCCACGTGCACTATCTTCACCGGTCTTTTGGTTAGAGAGCACGGCGTTCGAACGATTGCCCTCGGTGGTCGACCCCTCGCAACAGCCATGCAGGCAGTGGGTGGCGTCGAAGGTGCTCAGGTTCTCGACTTTATCGATCTTCAACAGGTGGTCATGAAAGTCGGCCTAGACGCCGTGAAGAACAAGAACACGAAACTCCTTGAGAAAGTCTTCGACGACCTCCCCGATATTGGGGAGCCTCCCTTGCTTCCTCCTCTGGCCAATGCCGGTGCCTTCAATTACCGCAATGCCTACTCTCGGAAGAATGTGAATGGATACCCGGAGCAGTTCCGATATGAGGCTGCCAACTGCCGTCTCTTCTACACAGAAAAGATGGTCTACGATCCGGTTGCTATCTGGTCTGCAACTGCTGATGCCGCCTGGGGGAAGGGAAAGTGTGTCGCAGGCTCAACCGTCAACACTGATGGTACCATAAGCGACAAGACCGTTGATTACAACGATAAGGTGGTAAGCGGTGTAGCCGCTTACAAAGGACCGGGCAGCTTGTCTTTCAAGGGAGACTACGAACCCCCGAAGCCTTTCATCCGGCAGAAGGCCTCCCATAAGCGGTCTATTGAAGATCAGCTGACTCCTCCCGACGGATTTGAATACCAGTTCAAGCAAAAGATTGGTGATATCAAGGAATACTTCGAGGAAAATGTTCCTGGAGATTGGGAATACAAGGAGAAGCCCAAGTGGGGTGGCTTTAGCCGGGCGTATGAGAACTGATGATTTGTACAAGACTTGGAGTTTGAAGAGCGTAAATGATAGACATCATTGGTTTTGGCTAGATTAAAAGCATATTTTACAAAGTTTTTGAAGCAGAGGTCTGATGTAACTACTATATACTCGCAGGTACCTAAAAGATGCGTGATGATCTACATGAATACCTGCTGCCAGAATGAAAAGCCCCTGTAAAAATACCTCCGTATCCTTGCTTCATCGGCTCCTATGGTTGTGAGGTTGCAGAATGTAAAGGTCTTAGGCAGCTAAAAACACTTTACTAAACTGCTTTCTTTAAACTGACCGAGGTATTACTAATACCGTACTGAACTACATGACGTTTTTATTCTGATTCCTACGCAATTCTGGTTCTGAGATTTTATTTAGCGTTGTTTGCAGTCTCATTATTGCATGGACTTAGACGAATAAATCTGATTCCTAATCCTAAGAGAAGAATATCAATCGCAATCAAGAACATTCAGACGAATTTGCTCGACGAAGAAACTGTGCTTAATTTGAAAGAACGGCATTTCGCATGTTAGGCATCTTCAAATTGAGTTCGTAAAATTGCTACTTCAACTTGAAGTCCGATAGTGATTTTTCAATATTCTAATTTGATGCGCTGGCCAAGGAACTGTCAGTTTCAACTATAGTCTGGTAGCAATGATGTCCAATGGCAGTATACATGATTGCTTTTAAACTCTTTCCCCATTGCTACCGACTTCTGCAAGAGCTGACCCACAACGGTGGTGATCTATCTAGCTATTTGACCGAATAAAAGAATCAGCGATTGAAGTCAGCTTGACAGTTTCCGTCGGAGAATCGCGTAACCTAGCGTGTAAAAAAGTATGTGCACCGGAACCTTAAACTTTGATGACCTCCTCGGCCATAACCTCGTTCTACTGCAATTAGAGTTCAAGGACTTCCGAAACCCAACCAAATACGAAAATACGTAGGCCTAGCCTGGGGAAAACAAGGGCTAGGCTATAGTGTTGACAGTGGTGTTACGGCCAGCTAACTGACAGTGGGTTTGTGTTAACAGTAAGCCAGGGATTGAGAGTAGTAACAGTCGTTCCGTGGTCCTGGTCGAATAGATCGTAGATCTTCAAAGGTCTTGGTGATCAGTCAAGGCCTCAACAAGAGTCGTAGAGTAGTTCGTCACTTAGGATAGCTGAAAGTACCGGTGAGGGTAGTCACGAAGTTGATTGCTGAAGAACTAGGAAAGGTAGGACTCGAGAGGACTCGAGTCCCAACTATATACAAGTCTGGTTCCATGCTGAACACTTCCTGATCCTGGGGGACCGACACCCAGGACGTCGGTCCATCGCCATGGACCGCCCTTGGCACCGTCGGTCCTGTCCCAGGACCGCTTATCGTCCGTCGGTCCTGCTTATCGTCACGTGACCTGTATCCTAGTTCTTCCGTTCCGTGGGGGTTGTTACGACGTAACGGCTGACGGCCGTCCCTATAACCGCTGAGCCCCTGCGGAAAAACATCAACAACAGCGAGAACGAAATTTTTGAAAATCGGAGCAAAAACGGCCCCAAATACGCGTGCTCGCGGCCACAGAGCCCCCTTCGATGCAATGCCATCCTCGGCCTTGATTCTACGTCCCAAAGGGGCCCAAGATGGCCGCAGAGCACGCCCCGACTACAATGAAAAACTTGAGAGCAAGCCGCAAAATACGACATATCAATAGACAACACTGTTACCACCACCACAGGCGAGCCACAAGCCGCTACACGAAGCACTAAGACTGCGCCCAAACAATCAACTTTAACACAACAGCCGCCGACAGGTTTTGGGTCACCTGTCACCCCCGACAAAGTTTGCAACGTCCCACAACGACGAAGATGAGTCCGACAGAACAGTATCACCTTCCGCACGGAGAAAGCACCAGGCATTAGGCATGCTACGATCGATGCCACA